TTTGCCTACCCAGTAAAGGCCCGATGAAACGGTCCACGGTTAAGCATCTACATACTTCAATTCACCCGGCATTAAACGATTTGAGTAAATGATTTAATGCCGAGAAAACAAGATCCAATGTCGTACACATGCATCATCATGCGTGTGTACGGCATTGAGATTTAACCCGACGCTGAGGCAGACATGCTCTTGGCCGAAGCCTCAAGCGCAATTTGCGTTCAAAGATTCGATGATTCACGTATTTCTGCAATTCACACTACGTATCGCATTTCGCTGCGTTCTTCATCGATCTGAGAGCCAAGATATCCGTTGTTGAGAGTTGTCTTGATTTCTGAGGGATACAGCTCTAAGCTGATCTCTCCATGTCTCAAAAATAGATGTAATTGGGTTAAGGTTAGTCGGTTAGACTAAGAAGGGCCAACACTGTGTGTGCTCTGCTTATTAGCAGAAAGGACAACAACAATGCCTGATGTCTGAGTGGAGTGGGGACCACTCCACACATACATCACCTCAAGAATTTGTACGGCATTTCTGCCGTACAAACTGATGTGTCCTGAGAGGCCAACCAAATGATTCACAGGTGTGGATTTCGATAGATTCAATGATCCTTCCGCAGGTTCACCTACGGAAACCTTGTTACGACTTCTCCTTCCTCTAGGTGGGAGGGTTTAATGAACTTCTCAACCATGACCAGGTTGCCCCAGTCAAAGTCAATCCGAACCCTAAGTACTTCATGGCAATTGTACACACATCTTATACAGAGTGTGCACATGCTTTGATTGAACTAGCACTACAAATGAGTGTTCGTGCAGGCCATCCTAGCCAGGAAACGCCTGCAATTCAGCAAGTCGCTCCCGTCAAGGAAAACCTACAGTCTCTGTTACTCACCAACTTACTACGCCTGCAAAAGCTAGACTTTTCGTTGGGAAAGGAAACAGATGCAACATTCTAAGACGTATCGAAAATACGACACACTTAGTTTGTGGCCAAAAATCGCAGTACACGACACGTACGACAGTACGACTCGAACAACTGCACAAATAATGCAAGCGAATGCATCACGTCGTACATTACTAATTTGCGTACAATAGTACTGCACGAATGGTATGGACAATATAAATCGGAAACAAGAAACAGACTGTGTCTTCAGACTGCCTTGTCCATATGGAATGAGAAAGTATGCTAACTCATTGCGGTGTAATCACAATATTAACACACCAACGGACTCTCACACATTTTGGTCGCAAAGGGCAATTTGCACAAGTCCTATTCGCACGACCGTCCTATGCGCTTCCTATGCGCATCCTATTACTGCCAAACACATTATTAGCATCATGATCACCCAAGCTGGTACATAACACAAAGTTTAGGGACCCTAAGATGGGAGATTCCAGAAGTTGAGACTTGACAGNCCTGAAGCCAGGATTCAAATTTCATTGTCCCTGGGTTGAGAGGTGCCATTTAAAAATGCAACCTTTCAGCCACCACACACAAAGGACAAAAGCTTAAAAAGTTATGTGTGTAAGTACATGCAAGCTTGAGGCACTGCAAGCCTGATGCATTAAAAAAATTGAAATCGAGCTTACAAACATGGGGCATCGTTTCTGGGTGTTGTTGCATGCCTGTGCAGTGACATGCATTCCCCCAGGCACCAAGCACATGCAGCAAAGGGCAATAACAGCGCCTGCAAGATTGGGGCAACGTTTCTGGGTGTTGTTGCATGCCTGTGCAATGAAATGCATTCCCCAGGCACCAAGCACATGCAGCAAAGGGCAATAACAGCGCNTGCAAGATTGGGGCATCGTTTCTGGGTGTTGTTGCATGCCTGTGCAATCAAATGCATTCCCCAGGCACCAAGCACATGCAGCAAAAGGCAATAACAGCGCCTGCAAGATTGGGGCAACGTTTCTGGGTGTTGTTGCATGCCTGTGCAGTGACATGCATTCCCCAGGCACCAAGCACATGCAGCAAAAGGCAATAACAGCGCCTGCAAGATTGGGGCATCGTTTCTGGGTGTTGTTGCATGCCTGTGCAATCAAATGCATTCCCCAGGCACCAAGCACATGCAGCAAAAGGCAATAACAGCGCCTGCAAGATTGGGGCAACGTTTCTGGGTGTTGTTGCATGCCTGTGCAATGAAATGCATTCCCCAGGCACCAAGCACATGCAGCAAAGGGCAATAACAGCGCCTGCAAGATTGGGGCATCGTTTCTGGGTGTTGTTGCATGCCTGTGCAGTGACATGCATTCTCCCTAGCAAACACTACAACTCAACATCCCTACGATGGCGCTTGTAATGTGGCAAAACAGATCGTCACCAGGGGTTCGCACGTGGTCCCCCACCGTACTACTGATCTGGCCCAATGTTGCTTATGTGCCCAGTGCTGATGGGATGGGCAGTGTTCAACATGGTATGAACGATCCATGTCCATACCGAAATCTGGACTGTACCTACACCTGTATTGCAGCCATATATTATACTTTACACATATACCAAAGAACCCAACCCAAAACATTATCCCCAATCACAAA